CTTCCTAAAAAGCCCCGCATCTCCACATTTTTGGTGCAGAAATGATCTCTCCTGTTATCCAGCCCACAGGGCTGCTGCGTCCTTCCCCATCCTCTCCTTCAGCGAGCCAGCCTCTCTGCTCCTTTGGTCTCACCTGTTAAATCCCCAGATCTTGCTGGCATCGCAGCATCGCTTTCCAGCCTGCCTGGGTCCAGCTGGGGTGGCTGGGGAGGGCAGCAGCACCCAACCACAGCTGGAGCTCCCTGGCTGCCCTTGTTCATCCCAGCTGTGGGTGGCATCTCGCCCCTAGCCCCCGCTCCTGGGTGCTAAGTCATAGTTACAGCCAGACCATTGCCTTACTCTCATTGCCCTTGGGGCTTCTAGGACTTTCTTTGACAGCCCTGTTTTGTAGCTGACTTAATGTCTCCCAGGCCACGTCCTAGCAAGGCAAAAGGGAGGTGGGTTCATCTGCTCGACCATCCCCTCCAGGCTCACGCTGCTTCTCACGGCAGTGACATCCGCCTGTGGAGCGGCAGGAATTGACCTTCATGTCATTGCTGCTAGGCTGAGCACGAAGCAGGACAAGGCTGGCCCAAGCCAGGGGTAGGAAAAGAGGCCACGGAGCCGCCACAGGCATTGATCAGGCCTTGGCTGCTGTAATTAGCGTGGAGGGATTTCGTTTGCTAGGAAGGTGTCACCTGCAGGAAAGGGCTGTGCAGCCGGAGTCTCGGGACCGGGGTGCCCTGGATACCCAAGGAGATCTGTGCTGCCCTCCCTGCGAGCTGGCCTCAAGCATCTGCCGAGGGCTTGCAAACCCCTGGGGCACCCGCAGGGGCAGCGATGGGGACATCCACGAAGTCCAGCCACCCGTCCCTGTCCACCATCCCCCCATAATGATCATGTTGCCGTGACCCCCTGGACAAGCTGGAGACCTTCAGTGCCCCGTGCTGGCAGCATCCTGGGGGGACCCCGCATCACTCAGAATTGGGGCCGAGAGAGGTTTTGTGCCCAAATAACACCCAAACTGTAGGAGAGGGACCCAGCCTGATGGGGGGAGGAGGTTGCTGGGGGGAGCTTTGGCTCTGCCCATGGCCTCCCCGAGCATCTGTAGCCCTGGGTGCAGGGCTGCTGGCAGGGCGCTTTCAGAGCCCTTATCCCAGCTGACTGGGATGGGGATGCATCCTGCAATGCTCCCTCCAGATGCTGCTTGTTCACGCTGGTCGGAGAGGGCTGAGAATTAAATGGGAATTAAAGCCCCACGGCAGCGCAGTTTCTCATGTGGCCGGGCAGCAGAGCCCTGAGGCAGAAATCACCAGGGGTCTATCTGTGTCCCCAAAGCGCTCACCCCATCACCACTGCGGGTGGTGGATGAGAGCCAGATTCCCTGAAGTGCTGAGGAAGGCTGGAAAACAGATGGAAAGAAATAGAATAAATGTAGGTACATGACCCAAAGGAAAGCCCCGGCTATTGCACAACAGCACACTGCATATTGCAAACCTGCTGCTGCCCTTCCTCAGCTGGGAATAGATCCCACCCTGACTTTCCGACACCCCTGGATTACACCAGCCCTGGTGCTGCAGGAGAGCAGCAGCTCTCCCCTGGATTTACCCCCACCGCTACACAAAAGCAGTTTTGTTTAATTGGGAAGGCAACGGAGGAGTCCCTCCTCTCCCAGCTCTTGCTTGCTCTGATCCACCGAGCTCCTGCCTGGCTGTGGGAGGACATTTCTGCGGCAAACTCTTGTTAAGCCCTTGGCAGCATCTCCTGGGCTCCGGTTACCGGGGGGGCTCAGTTCCCAGCCGAGGAGCCATGGCTGTGGCTGTGCTCCATGCTCCTCCCCACTCCCTCCCAGTTTTTAATGCACCTCTTCTCCTTGAGCAGCTGATGGTGCCACCAGCACCCAGTGTGAAGTGCCACGCACCCCAAAGGGTGGCAGGTGAGGGGACAGGTGCCCACGGCTGTGTCCCCCCATGCCAGTCCAGTGCAGCCAGACCCACTGGTGTTTTATGGGCTGTGGCCCCGCGTGTGGGCTGCAGAGCAGGTCTCACCCCAAGCCCCACAGCAGGCAGGACGCTGCTCTGCCCGCAGCAGAAGGTGGCATGTGGCAGTGGCTGCCTGCAGTTCTCCTGTGCTGCCTGGAAGGTGGCTGCACCCCATCAACAGGTGTGTTGGTACATGCATATAAATATAGACCTTGTGAAAAGCAGACTTTATTGGGAAAAAAAAGAAAAAAATCAATTAAAATGCACATAGGGATGCCCAGTGCAGCATCTTCCATCAGGAGATCTCCAGCAGGTTTCCCATGCCAGGCAGGATTGGTTTTCCTCATTCCCATCTCACCACCCGAGTTTTCCGTGGGGAGATGGGGCATGGGGCAAGAGGATGTGGGAGCTGCCTGGGACCCACAATAAGTCAGCAATGGAGCTAGGGAGACACAAAAGTCCCTGAGACCTGGCCCAAGTCACAGCCCACCACCCACCTGGGGCTGCTGCTGCCAGCCACTGGCTTTGTCAGAGAAGCTGCTGGCCCGAGACGAGGGGAAGGAAGGAGAGGGGGAAGGAAAAGCTCCTTCTGCCTGAGAGCCAGCAATGCCCCATGCCAGCCGGAGAGCAGCTCACTCTCAGGGAGCTGGTAATGGCAGCCCTTGGCACCCCTTGGCCATGCTTCACCTCGGGGCGTTGCACGAACCCGGGTGACCCAGGACTCAGGGCAGGGGGGGTCACACGTGTAACCTGGTGCTTAAAGCACAGTCCCACCACAGAGCCAAATCACTCACACCACGTGCTGCCGCCTCAGTTTCCCCACCTGTGAGGCAGATGAAATGATGCCCTAGGCTAGGGTGTTTATTTTTCCCCCTACAAACCTCAGGTCTTTGCAGAAAAGGGAAGGCACAAGTAATTTCTGGTAAAATTTCAGGTTCTCAGAGCTCGCAGAATGAACCCAACTGTCCTTGCAAAGAGCCTGGAGACAAACCCTGCCCTGGGAGAACACATTGGCTCCAGCACTCCAGTTATTTAACTGGGTAGGGTGCAAGTGCTCCTGGGGCTGAGGGGGTGACTCCTGCAGGGCATGGGGGGGCTGCCGGGTCCTGCCAAGCCCCGTTGCCATCATCCTTTGAGCTGCATCCCTCCTCTGCTCGCTGCGAGGATGCTGGGGAGATCTGATCCCTTGTCTTCTCCCTCGCAGGCACCACCTCCGAGCCCGCGCTGTTGCCATTCCCAGGTGAGATTCTTCTCTTAAAGTCACTTTTCTCTAGAAAGCTTCGTAGTTGAAAAATGCATTTTTTTGTTGTTGTTAAAAAAGGAGTTTTGGGAATTTCAAAAAGGAAGCACATTCGTTTGGAACAAAAAGTGGCAACAAAAAGTGAAACTTCTTTTACAGAAAGGTAATAGAGATTCTTTATTATCCCTGTTCTGCTAATTATCCCGAGAGGGGAATTTTGCCATGTCCTGCTGAGTCCCTGTCCCTGTGCCATTCGTTATGCCCAAGCGACTAATTCCCTTGATGTGGCAGGCCAGGGGCACTTACATGCCTGCTCCCCATTGCCAGCAGCTTGAGAGATCATCTCCATCGCACCAACTCCCATGTGGGACCAGCTCCGGACGCGTTCGTTGACGCTAATAAGAATTTGCTAATTGCATTTCATCACTTGTCACCCATCATATGTCATCGTGTGACGCCACGTGTTCGCTTCCCTCCTCTCCCATTGGGTTATTGCCCAGGCCATCAGTAGGCAAGATGATGGGGTGATGGTGCCTCTCATTTATATAGAGATGTATTGAGTCTTCATGTCCACTGCTTCCAGCAGATGAAGATAAACCCATGCCCCACCATCAGGTGGGCAGCAGCAAGCCAACAGCTGCCTTGTGCTACAGCAAAGGGTCACCATTTTCTTTAAGGAGCAGAGATTTGGTGCAGAGAGGGCTCCCGCCCTCCCCATGACACCCACTGAGTATTTGGGATGGGCTCATTGCCTACTGAGGGACCTCTCTCTGCCAATTCTTCCAGAGATACGGCTTGTCAACGGGCCCAGCCAGTGCCAGGGGCGAGTTGAGATCCTCTACAACGGCTCCTGGGGGACGGTCTGCGATGACGACTGGGACATTGTGGATGCCAACGTGGTGTGTCGCCAACTGGGCTGTGGCCATGCCACCGCCCCCCCAGCTGCCATGACCTTCGGCCAAGGGAGCGGACCCATCTTCCTGGACAACGTGGACTGCAAGGGCCGGGAGACAGCCTTGAGCGAGTGCTGGAGCCATGGCTGGGGCATCCACAACTGCTACCACTATGAGGACGTGGCTGTTGTATGCAACGGTAATGAGGCTCAGTTCTCCAGGGGCAAGGAGAACAGGGGGGTGCCTGCAGTGCTGCAAGTCCTGGTGTCTGCAGACACCTTGGGGGAGCCCAAGAGTTGTATTCCTCTGAGCCTGGGTCAGCCAAACCTCCTCTGCATTCTTCCTCCACCCCTTTCTTCAATCCAGGTCATCTCCCAGCTCAGCATGCTGGTGCTCCACAGGGTGACCACCCTGTTTTGTGTTCCCCGTCACTCCCAGCTCAGGGACTTTGCAACCTCTCCGGCACGATCCCCAGGGAACGAGCACATGCCCACCCACGCTCCTGCCTCTGAGTCAGGCAGGACTCAAAAGTCCCCTTTTGTCTTGCCTTCCTTTAAATTGCTGAGCTTTTCAGTAGGAAATGTCCCTAAAGGTGAGAAAAGCAGCGGAAAGCATTTGAACTTGGCATGTGAAAGTAGAACGGCTCCGTGCTGACCCCTATATACCCTACGCGTTCCTGCTGCATAGCTATGTAGGGTTTGCTCACCAGCCATGCATCAACGACCAGTAAACGTGAGGCTGTGCAGACCCGGAGCTCGGCCACGGCTGCAACTGCTTGGTGAATCCCTGTGTCCTGCAGAAGTGGGGCTTATAAAGCGGGGGCTGCTGGGCTGGCTGGTGGGTCAGACCAGCAGCAACCAGAGAAAGGAGGTCATAGATTGAGCAGGAACCCAATTCAAGGAGCTGCTGGAGAGGAGATGCAGAAGGCCTGAAGAAGGAGGTGTGGGAGATGGGTCTGAGGGCAGAGGAGCGGCTTGAGCCCTTAGGTGTTTGTAGCTTGCTTGGCGAAGGAGACCAGGAGATGCTCTGGGGTGGCCCTCAGAGGAGATCCAGGAGTCTGACCCAAGCACCAGACCCCTAGGGAAGGTGCTTCCACCTGTGCTGTGTTGAAGCTTTCAAGAGCCAGCTTTCTGTCAGTTGTGGTTATGGAGGAAAGCATGGAGCCGGCCAGCTCTTCACGGTGCTGGTGGACTGGGTTTCCCGGGATGCTTCCCACAGCCCTTGGGCATGCGTGTGGCCAGTGATCAGACTGCTTGGCTCCACTCCCATCCAGCTTCCTGCACCACCCCCAGAGAATTTCACCAGCCCAGCCAAGTAGCTTGAAACAACATTGTTAGCAAAAGAAATATAGGTAAAGCCAGCAGGAAAATCAAAATATTACCATTTTTTTCTATATTTCTGCCATGATTCTGAATCCAAATCCCATGATAGGTGGGAGCCTGATGCCCAACAGCTCAGCAAAGCATTATGATTTGGTCCAGGTCCCCATGCCATGCTGCTGGGCACCACTTCCCACCGTGCCAGCAGCCGAGGTCCTGGCTCCATCTGCCTCCCTGCACCTACCACTGGGCAGATAACTCTGGGCAGAGCAGTAGAGCTGCAAACCCCTCTTTCTTTCCCTGTCAGGGCTGGTTTGGTGCCAGTCCTCTCACTTTCCATGGTGTGTGCTTGCCAGCATGTGTGCACACCCGAGCGGGGGGAGCAGCAGGGCGGGCACGCGGGGGCACGGCTCCCCGACGGCTTCTGGACAGGTTGCTGTGGTCAGCAATGGACGCCATCTCTCCACTTCCCTTTTCAGACCTCTCGCCCATGCAAGCCAGTGAAGGACCGACAAGCAGGACCCTCACAGCCTCGGTACAGGATGGGGAAAGTAAGCTGCTCGGCCGTCACTTGCAGGGTTCCGTCCTGGCTGAGGTCTGGTAGAGAGCAGCGTCCCCCACCCGTCACCCGCTGCCCCTCCATGAAGCACCCCAACTCTCCGGCTGCGAGGGGCAGAGCCCCGGGGACCCTGTCATTGTGTTGGCCATGGCCAAACCCTATCCCAGAAGTTCACCAAGAGTCCCATCAGCCGAGCTGCCCTAAAGCATCATCCCTTCCCCGCAGTTCCTCACCCGGTTTCCTTGCTGTCATGCGCGCTACCGAATCCAAGCTCGGCGGCATCGCTGCGCTGTGGCGTGTGCGGTGACCTCCTGGGGAAAGCAATGTCCTTCTCAGTGCGTGCTGCCACCCTCCAGGTGACGGCAGCATCCGTCTGGTGAGCGGGACCGACACCTGCCAAGGCCGGGTGGAAATCTTCTACCGCGGGAACTGGGGCACCGTCTGTGACGACGACTGGGGCCTGAGCGACGCCAGCGTGGTGTGCAAGCAGGTGGGCTGCGGCCAAGCCCTGGATTACAAGAGTAACGCCTATTTCGGCTACGGCACAGGGCGCATCCTCTTGGACAACGTCAACTGCGACGGCAGTGAGCCCTTCCTCTCCGCCTGCTACAGCCTCGGCTGGGGCATCCATAACTGCGGCCACCACGAGGATGCTGGGGTCATCTGCACAGGTACCGGGTCAGAGCATTGCCTTCGGGGCTGCCCCCAGGGCAGGGAGGGGACGATGGGAAATCCAGGGACATCCTGGTCCCCAAGGAGAAATGGCCTCAGAGAGATGCTGATGTGCCCAAGGTCAGGCAGGGACCTGGGCTCTGTGCTGCGGGAGCATCCTTTCTCCTTTTCTGCCATCATCCCGGCGCTCCAGAGCAGTCTGTGACACCACGCTGAGAGCCTGGGACATGGCCTGAGCAGCAATTTGCAAGGGAAATGCATCTGCCTGCCTGCCATTTCCCTGCTCTGCTGGCTGGAAAACAAGCTGCCCATGTCTGGAAGGAGCGACTGGTGGCCGGGGGCCGGGCACGCCACCAGACCTGGCCTGCCTCCCCTTCCCCTCCCTAAATGATGTATTTCTGCCATTTTCCACTGATTACCATTTATAATGTTAATAATCCCCCTGAATTCCCTCATTATCATGGCTAATGATGGGAGCACTAAGTGCTGGTGCTTTCCCTTTCCTGCTATTACTGAACAAAGAGGCTGATGCAGGAGAAAAGGGACAATTTTCTCAGGCTGGTCCTTTCCTCCCTAACTGTCCCCATCCCCTCTGGCACCTCACCCAGGCACAAAGCCGATGGCACCACCATGCATGGCCCTTGCTCGGTGGGGCAGGGGAAAAACGAAGCTTTAGAGCTAACGAACCCTGCCTGATAAACCTCCCGGGTATACGGAGAAGCGAGGGACCCCTTGGCACTGCAGGTGGGAGCTTGGTGCTTGGGTTGGGGTGGAGAAGCACCATCTCCAGCACATGGGCAGCAGGGTTCTGCAGGTGGACAGGACCATCTCCATCCCCGTCACCCTGGAGCACCCAGACCACCCTGGGTCTGCCTCCCAGAGTCAGCAAGTTCACAGCTTTGCAGCTTCTCCCCGCATGTCACCTCTGTCGCTCTGTGTCACCGCAGGGCTGGATACATCCACCATCACGTCCTTCACCACCTCGGCGGCCCTGGACTACGAAGAGACACTCACTGCCACGGCCACAGGTAGGAGGTTGGCAGCCACCCGGCTCACCCTTGTGCCATAGCCAGGGCTGGGAGCTCACGGGGGGGACACCGAGTCTTCTGTGTGTTCCCGTGACCCCAGCGCAGTCACCCTGGGGTCCTGCTGCACGTAGGTGAGGCACAGGGGGTGACGTTGCCCATGGCAGGAGCTTGCCGTGGGGCCGCCGCGGTGCTAAGGGTCATTGGCACCGACCGGAGCAGGGGCAGCGGGTGCTGGAGCTGGGCCCCCCCAACGCCCGCGTGTCCCCACGCTTGTCCCAGCAGCGACAGACAGCAGGGACCAGCCCTCCCAGGCCACCGAGGGGGTCACCACTGCTCTCCTTACCGTCGAGCAGGAAAGTAAGTGTGCGGCCGCTGCTAGTCCTGCACAGGGTCCAGCATGGCCCCCCAGGCTCCACGTCCCTGGGGGGTTACCCCATATCCCCAGGGCTCACCCCACAGCCCCGTGAATTACCCCATGCTCCCAGGGGACCTTCCACATCCCCTGGGTTTACCTCTTTCTCCCGGGGCTCACCCTACATTCCCAAGGGATCTCCGGCACCCCATGGTTCACCCCACACTTCCAG